CCATTTCGCGGCATAAGATGCTGTCTTCGATGGGGCTCTCGCAGGCTGAATTTTATGCATGACCGCTGGAGGCAAGCCTAGGCTCTACAGTCACTCCCGTTCAGGGGCTAAGCCCACAGGCACTGCCCCATCATGGGAAACTGCTGAATCGCACCATCCAGCTGGGAGAGCGTGTCCCCATGTCACAGGAGCTGCCACGGCTTGCCTGTCAGCAGCTGTACCAGCGTGGGAAACTACGCCACGCCCATGTGCTCTGGGGCTATCAGGATGTGTAACCATTCGTCCTGTATGTCTGAGAGGAGACATGGGATCAGTGGGACAGGGGAAAGGTGTAAATGACTCCTCTGGGCCAGGGGTAATGAGCAAAGGCATCCACCCCCAGTGGAGGCTTGTCTCGTGTGTTCATAGAGAACCAGAGAGCGCACTGTGTGTTTTTGTGAGCCACAAACAAGTGTGCGACTGCTCGCCCGAACCTGGCCCACAGCACCTGAATGAGGGACGGGTTCAGTTTCCATTTGCTTGGCTGAGGCCTGCCTCGTGACATGAGATCTGCGGCATGGTTCTGCTCTCCCAGAACGTGGGCAGCTCTGATGGAGTGCAGGTTCTGATGGGCCCAGAGCAGGAGACTCCGTGCAATTTCCAGCAGAAAGAACACCGCCTAGGTGGTTGATATAAGCAACAGCTGTTGTGTTGTCTGACTGCACCACTATGTGATTGCACCGATACTGAGAGGCAAAGTGTTTTAACACTTTCAGCACCATGGCTAGCTCCAGACAGTTAAGGTGGAGAAACGGGGTTTGATGCTACTTTCCCCTCACAACCTGTGACAAGCACATGCCTCCCAACTCGAGCAGAGACGTGTCTATGAATACCGATATGTGTGACGTGACTCTGCTGAGGGGAACTCCCATTGCTATGACACTGGGAGTTCTCCACTATGCCAGGTCTGACTGGACCGAGGAGCCGACCATTAGCACGTGAGTCTAATAACATGCATGGTTGGGCTTCTTGATCGTCTTTCTTTCTGTGGATCTTTGGTGATACAAGAAGAGACAAATTGTTTAAAGCAATTCAACTGTTACAGTTAACTGACTTCTAGGACCTTCTGTGGTCATTAAGACTGTAGACTGTAGCACAGAAGTAATGTTGTTGTTAAAAATAATTCAGTGTCCTGGTGGCAATAGTTAGAGTTGATGTCATCAGCACATTCATGACAATCTGTGAGACAGATGCACACTGAAGTATATCAGTAACTCATGATCATGTGACATAGCCAGCTGTATTTCTATGGTCTCACAAAGAAAAGGATGAAATATAAATAGCACGGCTCTCACAGTGAAGCTCACTTTAAGCTACACACTTGAAACTGTTTGAGTCTTGATAAGTCAAATGCATCTTCCTTTATTGTATGTTGTCATTTTCTCTTTTCTCTACCAGGGAAACAAACATTTGTTTGTCCCGCAAAATTCTATATCAGTGGTTTTTCTGATGTCCCTCATATTAAATATTTCTATATCTTCCTTTGTTTTGTTTATATCATGACTGTTCTTGGGAATGCCTCCTCCTCTCAGTGATTTACCTGGTCAAAACTCTTCATACTCCTAAATACATGATTGTGTTCAACCTGGCTGTGATAGATTTGTGTGAGAGCACTGCTCTTATCCCAAAACTCTTGGACATGTTTTTGTTTGACAACAGATACATTGTCTATGAGGCTTGTTTAAGTTACATGTTCTTTGCTTGGTTCTTATTAGGTCTGCAGTCATGGACACTTGTGATTATGGCATATGACAGATTTATAGCAATTTGCTTCCCTTTAAGGTACCATAGTATTCAGTGACGTGCGGTGAGGTTGACCTTGGTGAGGCACTTGACTCTTTTATAGTCAGATTTACAAATACAAATGAACCGTTAAATTGTTTGCATTATGTTTTATATCTCATATCAGCATTCTTCACACAAACGTGACCCATATTTAATTTGAGGTTAAAATTTATTTCAATTGAGCTTATTTCTAACTAGAAATAATAAAAGTTTATGGTCTTACCTTTACTTGTAAACGAAATCCATTTGTCAGCTGGTATGTATTACAAACCCTTTTACCGTTCAAATCCAATATTAAAACCAATGTTTTCAATAAAGAAGATCCTTCTGGACAAAAATGTCCAGACTGTCAAAAATGTTTTGATTGAAAGTCCAGATT